TTGAGTCAATCACTGAATAGACGACATGAGACTCTACTTGGTCCCTTTCAGATTCGCGCTCCAAGACGAAGATTTGTTTCCTTAGACATATGACAGGCATTTGGGCAAGGTGTCTGACCCGTCGAAGTCGGTACGGAGACATGATGGTTTCTAGGCTCAATGATTGTTCTAGTTCCACGCCTATTCCCTATAACTTAGTATCAGTTATCTCCCTTTTAACTCAACTCTCCACGTTTGTGTTCACCTCTGTTGTAGCTAGTTATTGAACTCACAACCCTTTGAGTCAATTTAATCGATTCAACGAACGTTTTTATCCACTGGACCATGTGTTGGGACACATCAGATGTGAACAACAGAGGTGGAAAAAAAACTTGGAGAATTGAATAAAGAGAGATATACTCTGAGATACCCGCAAAAGTTATGGCACGTGGAACTAGATGAATCTACCACGTTGGATGAAATAAAAAAAAGTGTTTTTTTTCGAAATACCAATCACCTGAAGAAGGCCGGAACGTACAACGTTCAAAACGTCATGAATATAAGAAAACACAAGGACAACAGTCCGAACAATGCAAATAGTATAATTAATTGCATTACCATAACTCACAAATACAGACAGATATTTCCTGTGATTATCTGTTATAGAAAATGATTTTCCCTGATTCTAAACCAAAAGATAAAATGTTACGATATTTCTGTTTCTTCCCTTACTGTATGCTGCAAATGGTCTTGATATGGAAAGACTGCACCGTGTGCATACCTCAATCGCTCACTCTGGATATAGAATATCTACGGTGTCTTCGTCATAATATAATCATATAACACTAAACGACCTCGTCCCGCTGCCAAATATTCTTGACAAATTTCAATAGAATATGCAGAAAGTTAAATTGTGCAGTTTAGACTCGGCAGTCTCATGGATATGACAAACTTGGATCAAACAATGTAATTAAGTTAACTTTATTAGAGCTCATACCACTAAAAATAATATATACATATTTGTGTGTGTGTGTTTGTGCGCGCGCGTGTGTATGTGTGCATGTGTGTGTATGCGTGTCCCATTAAATAATTTAGACAAGTCTACTTATTTTTACTTGAATCATCTCGTAAATACGGACAAGTTTCTTAGTATCCTTATAAGAAATGTACCATGTTGATGCATATTCATTTTATCCCGAGTATTTTCGACATTAGCCCAATGTCGTCATCAGGGTCTTGTTCTTTCTAAAACAGAAATGGCTGTGATCATCATTTTTTTCTAATTATTTAAAGAGCCATGTCCTAATGAAAAGATGTTGCTAAAATATACGCAATACTTATTAACAGAGAAAGCAATTTACTGAGACGAAAAATGTGTAGAAAGTTCAAGATAATCCACAGGAAATTTAGGTCCAGCTTCTTACAACATTTTACCTTTCTTATCAGAAATCCTGATGAAAAAGTGTTCAGGGCCTATTGGGATTTAAGCTCAAAACAACCACAAATGGAAATTATAAAAGGTGTTTCATTAAGACGGATCAAAGCCAGCAGTAAATAAATCAGTGTTATTGGTGAAAATTAAATTTATTTCTCTATTGGATCATGTTATTTAAGTCACGGCAATTATGTTCAAATCCATTCCTTTTACATTCCCTAAAACTGAGTATAAGGCTTTTCAGTATTACCAAAACAAAGAATTGATTTAACATCTGCCAGAGAAACCATTATGCTTAGCCAACGCTTTAAGCTGCTGGGCTATATGTTTCTCTCGAAATAAGTTTATATTTATTAGATGTGAATTAGTATGACTTATTGACAAAGACAGTTCAAGATGTTTTCGTTGTTTTCTTCTTCAAGTCTCACTATTACACAACGTCTATCATAATACTTAACCCAAAATATCTGTCTGATATCTTTAATCTTCAAACAAAATATCAGGAAATCGAAACGAATTATATCTGAATAAAGTTTGGAACAATATTTCATATGATTGAAGCTTCCTATATAAAGTCTCAACGCTTTTACCATTTATCCAACGCTTGTACCATTTGGGCAATGCTTATATCATTTGGACAACCCTTATACAATTTGGGCGACACATATACCATTTGTCCAACGCTTATAACATTTGGCCAAGACTTATAACATTTGGGCAATGCTTATATCATTTGGGCAATGCTTATATCATTTGGATAACCCTTATACAATTTGGGAGGCGCATATACCATCTGTCCAACGCTTATAACATTTGGCCAAGACTTATAACATTTGGGAAATGGATATAACAGTTTTAGACAACGTTCACACCATTTGGTCAGGGCTTGTACCACTTTGAACAACGCTTAAACCATTTGGAAAACGCTATACATTTTTGGACAACGTGTCTACTATTTGGACAAGGTGTATACCATTTAAACAACGATTATACAATTTGAACAGGGCTTGTACCAGTTTGATGAAAATTTATACCATTTGAACAACGCTTATGCCATTTCAGAAAAGCTTATAACATATACTGACAAGTCTCATACCATTTGTCTAAGATTCATACCATCTGTCCAAGGCTTGTGTCATTTTGAGCAACGTTTTTACCATTTCGACAACGCTTAATAGCATTTGGGCAACGCTTATACAATATGGCCAACGTATATACCATTTGGCGGCCGCTTATACTATTTATGCGGTATATCATTCAGGTAACGCTTAGGCATTTTACGCAGTGTTTACCATATGAATGGATCAATGCTTATAGCATATGGGTGACGCTTGTACTATGTGAGCATCGAGTATACGATTTGGGGAATTATTTTTCAAAATAGATGAACGTATTTTATGGATGATACAAAATGTGAAGAATTCATAACAAATGGAATTTTTTGGAAAAGCACTACACCGCAAAAGCCTTTTCAGTATTCTGTCAAGATGATATCATGTTGTTGAAGCATTTAGGCGTTCACTGTAGGCATTTGCTTTTGTTTGACTGTGTATATAAGATTTGGCAACGTAAATGGTTATATTCTACATTTATCTCTAACCTCAAATCAATAAAAGTAGCATTAGTTTCAGATGGATTACGTAAATATATCTGAACAATACTTCATTATTTGATCGTTGTTGTTTACCTGCGTATTAGTGTTACTTATATAAAGGAACAAACATCACCGAATAAAAACAAATTGAACGCTTCAGAAAGCATCATAAAAAAAGATGAAAGAACAAAATAGTCAACATTTGGTATACAGGTCTTCTTCATAAGTTGAATATTGATGGTATCTCCTGACGAATTTTGGAAATGATTCCGTCATTCTTATCAAATTGTGAAATGAAGATCATCCTGAACGGCCACTCTTCTAGATCCTTTTTGTACTAATGCCAGTGTCCCTCTAGGTTTTTATTCTTGTTCATACTTTGTTTTTAATTTTCATCAATGGCCCACCTGGCATCAGCTCGCGACTCGGTATCTATGCGCGGATGACACAATCATTTACTCATATTTCGATAGTAAGTTTGATCATTTCGATAAGGTCAAAAGCGACCTTCAGTCTGTTGTCACCTGAGGCAAAGAATGGCTCGTTAACTTCAATGCCTCCAAAAAAAAAAACAGATTTCTATTGATCATCAGAGAGAGAATTTTCTGCTTTCCATGTCGAGCTAACATCTCGGCTGACATGGAATGGAAAGACTATATTGAATTCATTGCTAGCTAGCTGCTGAGAAATTTGGTTTACTATGTTGTGCTAAAAGATTTTCTCTTCAAAATCTATCTTATATATCTATATGTCTACCATATATTTATTCGTAGAATATTATTGCCGAGTATAGCCTGGTGCTTCTGCTATGTACACCCTTGTGCATATTAATTGAAATAAAACGAATAATTTCGTAATTACTTACATTTTCGTATTTTTCCAATGCATCATGACCGAATGCAGATGTTAGTACTTCGTATGTCCATTCCACGAAATCGCTTCTTGCAGATTGACCACAAATTCTAGATTGGATTTAAATCGGGAGAATTCCTGGGCCAGTCTGTAGTACTTTGATGTGCCCACTGGTAAGCGTTACCAGTATGTTCGTGCAGCGTTACAGTTTTCGTATGCTTCCTTGGAATAAAGACCATCACAAACAATGACCGTAGATAACTAAAAGACAATTGTGTCTGGGCGTGATAAAAATCTGGTGCAATCACGGTTAACGCAATACTTTTCAAGGCCAAACAAATTTCATCATACACCCCGAAAATAGATTCATATTACTGCACACCACTACAAATGACCTAATTTGAGCAAAAAATAGAATTCGATTACACCCGTTCACTTCATTGGGTCTAATACTGACCGTACGGTGAAAGAAAGGAAACTAAAGTGGTTGTTTCAATTAATTTGCACGAGGATGTATTTAGAGATTCTTGATAGAATCGAAAGAAGAATCAGCAATATTATTGATCCTGACCGGACGTTCAGGCTTGAGTCACTATCTCGCGACGATAAAGTTGTTTCTCTGTACCTTTTCTGTAAGTCCTTTTTGCTCCTACTCGTGTTTAAATGCAACAAAGCACCACATTGTGATAAAACAAAAAAGGCGAAAACAGTAAAGCATTTGCTACATGATCAACCTAGAATATAGCAATTATAAATGAACTAGTCAAACAAAATATCGATTGGCTAATTCAAGTCTTTTACCAAATTAAACAGGTTTCGCGAATATAGGTTCTATTACCCAAGTAGAATAATAGTACAAATGATATTGCCAACGATGATTGCTAGTGTATTCATTTGGATAACCCTCACAGATGGAATCCGCTGGAAGCCACAATAGCGGGCATTGTATTAAATAGAGTGGCCGGAGGTTGGAGTAAGCATCTAGATATCGAAGTACTACAGTAGATTGAGGAGAGAACGGATTTAAGGGTAGAATACTACAGTTGTGAAAAACAGAACAAACAAAAACAAAAAAACATGAGTAATACTGCTACCGATAATAGTTAAAAGTCACGTAGATAGAACGAGACAACCAAAAAGTCAAAGGTCGAGAGTTGATTGAAAACAGAAGAGAAGAAAGAAAAAAGTGAGAAAGAGAATAGAAAGAAAGAAAGAATGACACAGTATGAAAACACAAAGTAAGTAACTGAAATCGACAGATAGATAGATAGATGAACAGTCTACAGAGAGGTAAATATGAACATACTGAGATAGAGAAATAAATATACATAAAGAGATAGATAGATAGATAGATAGATAGATAGATAGATATGAACAGACAATAGATAGATAGCTAGATAGATATGAACATAAAATACATAAATAGATAGATTGATAGATATGAACAGACGATAGATTGATAGATTGATAGATAGATATGAACAGACGATAGATAGATAGATAGATAGATAGATAGATAGATAGATAGATAGATAGATAGAATATGCACAAACTGAGATAGATAGATATGAACAGACTGAGATAGATAGATAGATAGATAGATAGATAGATAGATAGATAGATAGATAGATAGATAGATAGATATGAACAGACAATAGATAGATTGCTAGATAGATATGAACATAAAATACATAAATAGATAGATTGATAGATATGAACAGACGATAGATTGATAGATAGATTGATAAATAGATATGAACAGACGATAGATAGATAGATAGATAGATAGATGTACTGACAGACATGAACAAATAATATTGTAAGATGCTGTAACTTGTATTTATCAGACGAAGAATAATATTATGCCTTATAAAATCCCCAGTTTTCATTATATTCTCCCTCGTGAATAACGCAGAATCGCTACATAGACGTATTATTCTCTCGAGGGCATTCAAATAAACATTTTACTTCCCGCCTAATCACGAGAATCTGGGTCAGCTGACCTGGTTTTTTTATTGCACTTTAACAACTTTCGACCTGTGTTTTACGGACACAAGATATTTTTTGTTGTAAACAGGTGTTGAGGAATATCCTTTTATTTTCATTTTTACAATGTACTCATTTATTAAGTTCAAAAGACTGTAAGGTTGTTCTTTGATAATATAAATCATAGTATTCTGATCATTCCTCATTCCTCTTAGAAACATTTAAATATGATGTTGAATAATGTGTTTATATTTGTGTTGCACATCGGTGATGCCAAAATAAGTCATGGATGGTAGTTTAAAATTTCCGCTTAATTCAATAAATGATATTGAATATTCGTCAGAAATGTATGAAACAGATTATTTTATTAATTTTACCACCAATACAAGGACCAAGGATCAATTTAGGTTACTGATTGTGATTGATGTACATAAGTGAAGGTAACATTTACAAGATCTGTAGAAAAGATAACGCTTAACCTAAGACGTGAAGAGGTTAAGATTCAAGTGACCAAGAAAGTATTATATTGAAGGTCTGTTCGATGGGATAGCGGTTCTGATTAAAATAACACTGAAATGACTTTTCAGAAACTTATATAGTCTTCGAAATTTGTATTTGCCATATCTCTTCATAACATATGGAACACGGCTCTTCACAACATCCTACCTTTGTAGGACTAATCAATTGTTTGTCCCTTTATTACTTTCCAGTATCTGTTCTGCTATCCATTTAAACAACTTATTAGACAAGTTACCCGATGTTTCTCACTGCCCTTCTTGCCTTCAATGTGTTATGTGAGCGCCATATTCAGCAAGCACTCTTTTCTATTATGCATCCCAGAAATGTCAAGTGAATATTTATGAATCTAACTACAAGTGACTTTTTGCCCCAGGGTGCTGAATTACCTACACAGAAATTTGATGTGATCAAGGCTTGTAAATGAGCATCTACAATTTTAAGAAATGCTGATATCGAACGCTTGATGTGAAACGGACCCAAATACATCAAGATTTTCGTGAAAGTTCTTCAACTTATAGACTTGGTGCATACATCCCTATGCTACCAGCTCTTCACCATTATGCTTGGGCAGCAACTGTACAATTTCTATGCCCTCACGCATATATATATATATATATATATATATATATATATATATATATATATACAAATGTAAAAGAACGAAAAGAATAAAAATTCAAACGTTCACAACATTAATTTAAAAAAAAACTCAATACAAGAGTAAAGCAATAAATGATTACTATAAACTGTTAGATTAGAACAAATTATTGTTAACTGCCTGTTGAGTCGTGTTAAACGTCGAAACAAAATATGCAATTTTGTAGTAGTAAATAGCATGTACTAATGTAACAGTTTCTAATATATATATATATATATATATATATATATATATGTGTGTGTGTGTGTGTGTATAATGATAATACTAATATTCAATATATATATATATATATATATATATATATATATATATATATATATATATATATATATATAGTATAGAATCCATGTAGAGCTCAATGTCCAGGACAGAGCAAGAATATAATATAAAAGTCTCAAACTCTAATATTCTATGGTTAAAATTTTTAATTTATTATTTTCATCAGACCTACAAATTCAAACAAGAGATTTTTTGTTTTGTTTTTTAATTTGTAGGTCTGATGATCTGGATCGTGATAACGATTCTGTTATGGGACCTTAACCATAATAATATAATGCAGGAAGCAGGGAGTTCAGTCTGAAGTCTGAAGTGAAGTCCGTCAGGAGTCAGTCAGTCAAGTCAGAGGCAGTCCGAAAGAGAGTCGCGTTCAGACAATTACTACTAAACCTGATTGTTCGTACTAACCCTTTCTACTTCTCTGTATATATTCCTGTTTGTAATATATCTGTGTTATTCCATATCCAGATTCCAATGTAATAAATTACAACCATGAAATATTAGTCTTTTATATTACACACACACACACACACACACACACACACACACACACACACACACACACACACATATATATATATATATATATATATATATATATATATATATATATATATATATATATATATATGAGTGTATGAGTTAACGTTATATACTTTATATATCAAGATCATTATTGAGGAAATTTTATGACCACGAAAAAAATGTTTACTTGCGACGCGTTTCGTCCTTCAGGACTTCATCGGACTAAATATGTTATGTTGATACGACTACACATGCGTACGGCAGAGGGGTTCTGGGAATTAGAAATTTTCTCGGCCGAATTAATTTAAAGTCTTTTTCTTTCCATCACTTTTGTAAGTCGATATTCCACACTTTGATATTAGAAGATCTGCCAGGAATGGTGAAATATTGTAAGAGCCAAGACGCGAATTTACTGTTGATGTCCTTATAATTAAAGTACTCTCTAAGCATTTACGTCATAGTGAATTATTTTCTCCTTTGATCAATTTCTTCTATTATTTATATTTCAATTATTTTACTACAAATATAATAATAACAATAAATATAAATAAATGTTTTCATATATATGAAGATAATTTTATACTTTTATTGTTTTCAATCTATTTATTGATTTATATTATTATAATGTAAACAATTCAACGAAACTAAAAGATGTTCAATACATGAATTGATAATCAATAAGTGTCTATTATTAATATCATATATTTTATTTCCTACAATTATCAGTACTTTATTCTAATAATGTTTGCGAAATATTCATACGCTCAGCTAATCAGTATTTGAGGCTTCTTTGAAACCGGTCACTAGTCGTAGATAACACTTGCATCTGTCGAAAAAAGGTTTTATATATCTCGACTTTTATTTTGAAGCATTCGCCAATACAAAATCCGGTATTTTATGGATAGCATTTTTAAGCCACAATTTTTCGATCGGGTTTAGATCGGTCGACAAAGAAGACTGTTCCCTTCTTCTCGACTTGTTCTTAAAAAGAAGTGGTTATTATCACAACGTCTACGGAACGAGGACACTCTATCGCCGTAGATTTTAAACAAAAGGATTCAGTCCGAAGGTTACTTGGATAGACAAATACTTGATGAATGCCGGACAGCATAAAGACAGAAAAGTTGTGATAATATCAAAAAAAAAAAAAAAATGTGTACAATAGTTTGAGATTAAAATAATGATGAATTTCACCCCAAAAATTCAAACATAAATTATCAAGTGGCTTTTAAGATACGTTTCGAGTCATTGGCACGTTGCAAATTGAATCCTTCCTAGATGAGAAAGCATGGCCCGGCTGTTTAGCAAATGCATACAGCCATCAGTCCTGGTGCATTTCACGATACCTACTGTGATAAGGTATATGATATTTAACACATAATTCTCTTTTGAGACTGCACATTTTATCGTTATCTATTTGTTATTTAGGAATAAAATGTCGTTTCGGACAATTAAGTAGAATTAAGTAGATCACATAACCATTGAGGAAATGCATATTATAGGCAGTCGCGTGACGTCGAGAGTGATCGTAATTTCTAGTCCAACATCTATTACTATTCGGATCTTTATTTCTACTGTGTCCTCTATTATTATACGGAGCGCTATTGTCTACTCTATTCAACATACTATTTCTCTATACTATTTCACTATATGGATTGATGTTCGCGCAAGTATTATCGATTAAGTACCATTTGTGCGAGTGTTATTCGAAGGCGTCTGACAACAGTATTGTTCAATTGCGTTACTATAGTTGTATCCACGATTACAAAGTCTCTACTACAAGGGTCATTACGAAAGTGACACCACGTATTCAATGGCATCACAAAACTATTATTCCCTAAAAGTGCAAATATTTCCCGTCTGACCAAACATCCATTCAAATGATTCCAAACATTTCTTTAACGAACGAACACTAATGATCTTTACTTGCTTTCTTTCACCGTATTTTTGTTCTCCACAAAATCTTATATTAATAAAACGTGTATATACGTCCCAGCATTCTTCAAATCTGTCCAAGAGTTTCAGGATCGATTTCTGCTTGACTACAATTTCTTACTGGATTTTTTTTAGTGTTGAAACATTTCTCGGACGACTTAATCTTATAAGCGTTTATATGGAACGATGTTTTCAGATTTATGAAAAAGGGATAATATCAACAAACAAATGTGTACAATAATCTGAGTTTAAAATAATGATGAATTTCACCCCAAAAATTCAAACATAAAGATACTTTTAAGAGACGTTTCGAGTCACTGGCACGTTGCAAATTGAATCCTTCCTAAATGAGAAAGCAAGGCTTTAGTTCCATAGAAACATAAAGCAGGTACCTTCTACACTAACCCCAAATTTACAGGACCCCCCCCCCAAATTTATCACGGACAAAGCCACCAATCTCTCAATCGAGAACATTATCATAAACCTAAACAAAATGTACGGTATGACCTTAATTTTCAAGACCTATCTATCCGGTCAAACGATAGTTTTCTGAATCAGAATTCCGACACAGCACATCACAGGTTTCATTGACCACATCATCAAATATTTACTATCGACAAAAGTCGTTCTTAAAAAAAGTCTTATTTCAATTTTTGATTTCTTCTTGAAATTCTAACATCTCCCTCATCATGCTTCTAATTAGCCAAAAGGCTTACTAGTATACAAATATTATAAGTTTCATTATCAATGTTATTATTTTATTGTTTGTTTATTTCTCGAATTTCTTCATCTGCCTACTATGTCCCTCTATCTAATCGATTGGTTATTTATAGGCGTATTTTAGTTTGGCACTGACCATAGCCGTGCTATCTGTGTGAATTGAACACATTACACT